ACAGATCTGTGCATTTTAAATTCATCATTTCATTCAATCCTTTGTGTGAATTAATGGATATTAAGCACTGGTCTATTCCGGAAATGGGTGCTGTGTGACCCTCCATATTCTGGCATGATTCAACAACAGCTGTATCAAACGGGGTTGCTGAGAATAGCAGCACGACAAAATCGATAGGGTCATAAAATCCTTAGCTCTGCTTTATAATAATAACAATAATACATTTTATTTAATACCTTCTCTTCCCAAGGCTTTACTCTTTATTCTCATTTCAATGTCTATATAAATGATCATTTCAATTGTCCCATTGTCTACTTAAGTATGTGAATCAGAAGAAGAGGTGAGAACAAGCTCTCATCTGGCAAGTAGAAAAGGCCTTTGTCCTTCACAAACTATCTCCATCCACAGTCTAGAACAGTGTTCATTTCCAACAAATCCATTCTAAGCACTGCTTTCTATTCACTTCTAATTCTTTTTCAGATACAGTTAATATGCTCCATGTCAACCATTCTCCAAAACAAATTAATGCACTCAGTGCAATTATGTTACACCATTTAAGGAGGTCAAGTTTAGAAAAAAGGCAAAATTAGTGCCCTGTCTACATTAGTCATGTACTCAGAAACTATTAAAGAGCCTGAAGGAGACAGCAGCGGCTTGTCTTTGATGCAGATATGGCATTGGATATTGTCTTCAGAAATGTTAAATGCCTAGAGACATATTCACAATGTGAATAAAGGGTGGAAGAAAAAGAGTGGATTTGATATATAACTTGAATTTTCTTGTCTTGGTCTGAAACTAACAGCTCAATTTAGTGTGTTTGCTGATATAAAAATGAAAGAAGGAAAACATTATGATAAACCTTGCTTTTGTTGAAAACATTAGAAAGGGGAAGGGGAGAATTTGAAAGCAAATATAGAGGAATGCTGCAGAGGCAATGGCATCATAACTTAGGCAGGTTGTGTTAATACATTACAGCAGGTCTGAACAACCTGTGGCTCTCTAGGTGTTTGGGACTCCAACTCCCAGAAAACTTAGCCAGCTTGTCTAATGGTCAGGAATTCTACCTGAAGTCCAAAACACCTAGAGAGCCACAGGTTGTGCTGGCCTGTATTAAATTTACCTGTCCGAACGCATATCTCCCTATGAACCATCGCGGAGATTAAGATCCTCCGGAGAGGCCCTGCTTTTCATCCCGCCATTGTCGCAGGCGCAATTGGTGGGGACGAGAGAGAGGGCCTTCTTGGCGATTGCTCCCCGGCTATGGAACTCCCTTCCTGGTGAGATAAAAACTTGGCTGTGGGACCAAGCTTTCGGGACAGGGCAATAAAGCAGCAATGGGAAAGATTACCAGGCCAATTAGATTTGACACAGATGACTAGGACGGTTTTAAATGGTGTATTTTAATATTGGGATAAATGTTTTTAATGTTTATGTATGCGTATATCCATTTATGTCCCGGCACTGGATGTTGCCATGTATATGCTGTGCTCTGCTCTGAGTCCCCTTCAGGGTGAGAAGGGCGGAATATAAATATTTAAAATAAATAAATAAATAAGGGAGTTCAACTTGAGGATGCCATTTTTAGCACCCCTAACCCAGTGTTTAATGTTAGCAAGTAAATCCCACTCCTTCGGTGAGGTCTTCTTTCCATTGCACAAATATAGCACTTTCATATCTCTACTGTTGTTACATCCTACAGCAGGCATCCTTAAACTGCGACCCTCCAGGTATTTGAGCTTTAACTCTCAGGATCCCATACAGCAGGCCTACACAACCTTCGACCCTCCAGGTGCTTTGTACTTCAGCTCTCAGAATTCTTGATCATTTGACAAGCAGGCTAGGGCTTCTGGGAGTTGGAGGCACAAACATCTGGAGGGCAGCAGGTTGTGCAGGACTTCCATAGGTCACAGCCATGGCAGTAAAAGTAATATCAATGTGTTATAACTATGTGGCAGGAGAGATTTAGATCAGATTTAGTACTTCTTTTAAAGTGAAACACATCTGAAAGTGGTATTCAGTGCTTTAATCATGTTCAATTACAGTTGGCCCTCCATATTTGTAGATCTGACTTTTGCAAACTGGATTATTTGCTGATTTAATTAAAACAATTCTCTCTATGGCCCCTTCTACACTGCCATATAATCCATATTATCAAAACAGGTAATCTGGATTTTATATGACAGTGTAGAGTGGGCCTTAGAGAACCGTTTTCTCAGGTCAAAAGAAAGTGAGGGTTTTTACTCTGTGTTTTCCCACTTTCGTGGGGACCCTGTGTCCCCTAATGCCAGCAAATGTGGAAGGCTGACTGCATGTTTGGAACACTCTTTATACTGTGATTTTAAAGACAACTGTTTTTCACTTACATGAAAGAAAGTTCATGTAAGTTCATGTGAGTTTTTTAAAAATATTATTGTCTACCACTTTGGGGTCCACGTCAGGAAAAGGAGGTAGAGGTGAAATAAAGTATTGGGAACAGAAACAACTAAATCAATGAGATGAGTTAGTCAAGACCCATGTAAGTATAAATGGTTTCAATATGTGTATTCTAACTTTCACTAGGTCTGGATCCAGATGGAACAATTTTTGCCACAAAGACTGGGCAGAATTTACAGGATCCATACATAGAAAGCTGAGAGGATGTCACCCAAGAAGATACACAGCTACAATTGCTGCCAGGGATCTTCTACCAAGTGCTGACTTATGTGTGTGTCAATGTTGATAGAAAAAACAAGTGCCTGTTTGTATTTTTACTTAAATATTGTGCAACTGTAACCATATTTTACACCACCGGAGTGTTGATCATTTTGTGAATATCAAGTGACGACAATGCAAAATAAATTTCAATTCCACGTTGTGGAAATTAAATGTGGACAAGTCAAAGGAGATTTAAGATATTATATATAACTTTTTATATTACGTTTGATATATAGCGACTTTATACCCTGACCCCTTCATATATATTGCCTTTAAAAAAATAGCAGTTCTCCATTAGATCTCTAGAAACAGGGACAATTTTTGTAATCATGAACTGTGTTTTGTGTGTATTTGTGCCATTTTTAGTCTGTTTCTAAAAATCTGTTTAATTTTGGGGAATTATAATCCAGAATAGACAATGAGCAAATATTTAGTAAAATAATTATCTGATTTGCTATTAATTCTGTTTGCAATGATTCTGTTTGTAGACACACACACTCATATCTGATTCCTGATGTATTCCTGAAAGCCAGTGACAAAACCAAAGTGATAAAAAGCATGTTTAGATTTATTTTTCAAAAAAATATATCTTTCTTCAGCCTTTTGGAATAATAAAGATATTGTTATAACAATATTAGGGTTTTTTAAAGACTTCCACATTGAAAGATAAATGTCTCAGTGCATCATAATGGATATTGTATAATCAATGTGGAAATAATTGCTCTAATGTGGAAAAAAAACAAGATGAGTCATCTCCTACTATAAAGGAACAAGAGGCCTCCTTTTGAATTTGATTAATCAAAAGAAGCTGCAGTCTGTAAATATTATTTCATTACAAAATGTACATAACATCAGGTTGAAACCAGATTTAGTAATCAAGACAGAAATCTGAAGCTGTTTTTAAGAGTTAGAATACATATGGTGATAAATCTCCACATGCAAATAAATAAGGGCCATATAAAAACGAGAGAAGTTGATCAGGACTTGGACACTAATGAAAACATCTGTTTCAATGACATCTAGTCCACTTCCACTTCCAAGGGCACCTAGATACTAATAACCAAGGCTCAATATATCTAGAATAAATGAAATAAAAATGTCCTACTATGCAACAAATATTGAAGAAGCAAATAGAGGAATGATAGTCCAACTATAATTAGATTAACACTTATGTGAACTGTCACAAACACATATTTTAAAAGCTTGCCATATCTTGTGAGGCAGCCAATGAATAAGAGGTTCGTTATTAATAAAAAAGAACTTATTGACCTTGCAGCTCCAAAGACATTTTATTCTCTTCCCAAGCTTACCAAAACAAAGAGGCTCAACAAAAAGTGTACACATATTATTCTTAGTCTACATACAGCAATCTCTATAGCTGAATGAACACAGAGCCTGCTTTCCTGTAGAATGTAGACTATATTCTCTGCAGGTTATGGAGACGGTCCATTATAGCTAGCAGGTAAAAACCAGAATACAGCAAACTATGGATAACTCCTGAAGGATACTGTTATGGCATGATCATAGGGAAAAAGGCGCAACTTGCTGGTACTTCCTATATCTCTGTTGCTTATTTTCTTCTTGAATATTGAGTATACAAGCAGCAGCAGCTGCTCCATCTGCTGATTTTCCCAACCTCAAAAGCTAAAAAACAAAATAGCCTGGAAAAGCATAATAGCCACCTGAAAAACAGTCCGCGCAAAAACAGCACCTTTCTTCTAAAAGCAAGCAAGTACTTAAAGCTAGTATTGTGGTTGCTGATCCTGAGCCTTTCCCAGGGTCTAGTGTTTGCTGCAGTACATGAGACAGCCAGTAAACTGAATTTCAGGAAGATTGAAATAATAATGATCAGAAGATCTTATGACCAGGAAGGTGGAAGAAGGATTCTTAAGGTACCGCCGTTCATGCATGCAGCCTTGTGATGCTTTTGAATTCATGATGTGGCTTATTAGCCACAGTTGCAATGATGGAGGTTAAAAATAGTAAAGAAGCAATGAAAATTTCCCATATATTCAGATCTAACTACCATAAAGATAGCTGCTAGTTGAGAAGTTCTGTAGTAAAAAAAACCCCAGCTTTTTTTTTTTTTACAAAAGGCAAAAGCGGCTACATATATAACTACTGTAGCTGCTCAAGGAGAGAATGATTGGTACTGACAATGTATTTCAACAAAACAACAGTACAATAGACAATACTCCATGCTTCACAAAAGAACAAAAGGTGAGATTATTGCCAAGATAGTAAAAAAAAAATAATAGTGCTATTATGATGTATTAAACAAAATGTTGTTAACAAGCAGTACATACTTATCTCCCACAATCCCTAAGTTGATTGTTGGATATCCATGTTCTTGAATTGTTGCTAGAAGAGTCGAACGATTACTGTCTCTGATCTTTCCTGGTAACAGGTCATCTTCTGGATTCAATAGCTATAAAACCAAAATTTAAGAAGAAGTGACTTCAACCCAAGTGTTTGAATTTGGCTTTTAATGTTAACCAGTTTGTGGTAAATAACAAGCAACAGTTGCATGTACTACTATACTCAATTTCAGGGAAACTGAAAGTATGTGTTTCTGAAGTCCCTTTCGTAGCAGCATAGGACGAAAGGGAGGAGAAAATGAGCGATCCTGCATCTTGTCTGGGTTTATTCCTGCTTGCATATGTACTCCAAAATCATGGTTTAGTATCGTAAGTTGGGTCACATTTTTCCGGAAGGTTTTCTGCTGCTGCCTCCACTTCCACCTTTGAGGAAAAGGGGCTAACTACACAAAGAAGCACTCAGTGAGATTTTCTCAAGGACCTCTTGGTCCACGACTGCCAGAAATCTGTTAGGGGAAAGGGAAACAGGGAGGACTCTTGGTCCTGTGATATGTCTTACACAAAGCGTCTGGAAAAAGCAGACATCAGGGAACCAATATGTCTAAATGTATGTAGCTGCCAATTGGCTTGGGGAATACTGGGAACTTTCAAACATCCTCCAAAGCTATGGTAGCCACACACATGTAGACAGTCCCCTCCCCTGACACTTGCTTTTTACAGGGGTTTTGTGTAAACCCTCTTCTCATTTCCCTCTTTTCCAACACATTTCTGAAGTGGTGAGATGAGAGCAGATGCTGAATGTGTAGCTAGTCCCTTTTCCCCTCCCATCCCTTGGTCATTATGTAAATGCAAATATTTGAAAAACCAGAAACACTTAAAATCCAAAAACCTCCTGTCCCAAGTATTTTGGGGAAGGAAGGCTCAGCCTGTATATGCAAACTAGGCAGAAATAATTACATTTGGCCCTCTTTATCTACGGGTTCTGCTCCACCTATCCAACACACCATGTCATTCATTCTCTCTCTCTTTATATATATATATATATATATATATATATATATATATATATACACACACACACACACACACACACATACATACACATATACATACACATACATACATACATACATACATACATACACACATACATACATACACCACACTTTTATCCCACTCTTTTCAGCCCGAAGGCAACACAGGGCGGCATACAAACTGGCAACAATTATATGCCAAACACACATAAATATATCATTTAAAACAGGTTAAATCACATAATAAAACCCATAATACAACAGTTTAAAACTATAAAATCAATGACTTCCGAGTTAAAATCCATGTCCATTTGCATCGTTAAGCCCTTCCATATTAGTTCACAATGATGGGTTGACTGGTTACAATGAGGTTCCAAAAGCTTGCATGAAGAGCCAGGTTTTTCACTCTTTTCCTAAAGGTCAGGAGGGAGGGGGGCAATCTAATATCCCCAGGAAGGGAGTTCCACAGTTGATTTCAGTATCCATGGAGTGAGGATGGTCCTGGAACCACAGAAGGACCACTGTACTTCATCATATTAATTGGACTCTGTATATGATATACCATTTTGGCTAGTATAATACCAGTCTTTGACCTGGTGAGCACGTAGGTCATTGGAACATATCTATATATCACCAAGCTGGGAAACATCTGTCCTCCTCCAGGAAGCAAAACATAAATAAGTAAATCCTTTGTTCCCAGGCATACAAAGATGTGAACGTTTAGAGTTCCAGGTTATGAAAATCGAATGGAATATGGATATAGCTTTTAAATCCTGCTTTTATTGCTTTCATGTGATTTGTTTTATTGTTTTGTATTGTTTATCTGAATTGTTTAATTTATTGTTGTATTTTTACGGCATTGAATGTTTGACCTTTAATGTTGTGAGCTGATCTGAGTCTGCATGGGGAGATAGGGCAGGATAGAAATAAAGTTTATTATTAAGTTTATTTATTATTATAGTTTGGGTGCAGCCTATGACATCTCACTACTGAGCCCACCCCACTCGCTGGATTGTCACCTCATCCATCAAACCTGGGCTGAGGATTTTCCTGAAAATGTTCACCTGGACTTTATTCCTGCTATTAGTACCTTTCTCTGTGTTATTCCCTTTCTTTTCTCTGTGTAGAGAAATATCTACTCAGAATAAAAAACTATATTTTAGCATGAGGGTTCTCTCTAATGATAATTCTGTGTCTTTACATGGAGAAAGGGAAATTAGTTCCTAAGGGGCAGTAATGCCAAGACAGGAGATCACTGAAACCATTTGATCTCTGAGAGGTGTCAAGGAAGTAATATGGTCCTCAGACCAGGTACAGTTCCCTATCTATAAGATCTGAGATGGTGATGGTGGCTAATGTTAACTTTAGTACTGAAATAAATATTTCACATGGCAATATTTATAGATTCCTTCTGTAAAAGCATGCATACCTTTTACTGTTTTTCAATCATTAATATTGAAAACAGTCAATGAACTAATGGTAGGAAAAGTAATAAAAATACAATCACTGTGCCTTTAGGAAACATTGATTTGTAAATAACTACTTACTTCATTCCCTGTGGACATTACTGCAACTACTGGAAACTTGTTAACTTCCACTTCTGTTACTCCAACAGTTGCTAGGAGGCCTATCTCTGATGGACCCATGTGGGTTCCCTTGGCCAGAACGCATTCACCTCTTTTAATGTCATGTCCTATAGGTCTGAACATGGATCCAGAAAAGATAAAAGGGAAAAAAAGAATTCAAGTCAACAAAGAACAATTATTTTCAAAAACTTTTTATATTAAAAGGAGACTAAACTGACACTTGTGTTTCTGGTTTTCATACGCAGTTGTGCAAACAAACAGTTAACTGACCTGATATCTTGACCTGGTCGAGCCTGCACCAGAATTCGTACCTCAAGTTCTTCAGTGCCCTGCATTTAGCAAATAATGGTGAATAGATAACATCTTCATTTTTATAGCATATGTCATTAAATCTCAATTTATGTTATACAAAGATCTGACTGCAGAATTAAGGTCATATGAGCCAAAAATGACCTAGATTTTTTTTTTTTAAAAAAATTAATCTAAAATCCCTTTGCAGTTCTGGAGTTTTTACACCAGAGAAAAGTGGTCTCTACTTTATTTACTTTTTAAAAGAAACAACAAAATCCACCATTATAAAAGAAAGAAAGAGCGGGTGGTAGAAAAGAGCAGGTGGTAGAAAGAAAGACCGGGTGATAGAAAATTCAAAAGTGCCCTGCAATCATGAGAAATAAGGTCCAATGGGCATCTCTCTTCTTCTTCTACTCCTTTCTGGGTTACCAACTGACTCTTCTAAAATCCTAGAATGATTTTGGTTGTTTCCAGGATTACATGAATTCTTTCAATAAAGGTCTTTATTACCTTGATCAAAGCCCATAAGCCCCCCCCCCCCACCCCCATTCCAACAGTGGATAGAGCCCAAAGTAAAATGGATGGACTGGACAGATTTAATTGTGACCTTTGTTTAGTAATAAAAAAGGTATGGGAAAGTGATCTGCATTCTAATATTTTCCTTTTCTGGGTTTCTTCAAGTTTATAGTTAGAACATTCTGTAGGATGGAACAAATGGTATCCAAAACTTAGATGAAGGGCTGGTATTTGATAACCTGGAGATCCACATTTGGCCCATAGGATGACCTAAGGCACATCCAGACAGCCCCTTTATTGAGGAAACTTCTGCAATAAAAAGGGGGTTGTTCAGATTGCATTCTGGGCAATCTGCAATTAATTCACCACAAACCAGGAAAACCCTGGTTTGTGGCAAATTAATTAGATGGATTTATTCCGCGCCTTCTTGGAAGGCGCGGGATAAACCCACTACTTCTGGTGTCTGAACTGCACTCCAGATACCATTCTCACAGTTTTCTGGACTAAATTAGCCAAGAAAACTGTGGGAATCCCAACCCCCTACCCCAAAGCCCCAAAATCCCTTTTAAAAGTAAGGAAAACTTACGCCAGGAGAGCGAGGGGGGAAGGAAAATCCCCCCCCTGCTCTCCTGGCGCATCATTTCTACATGCTGGGAAAGCTCTAGCAACACTCTACTGGAGGACAGGTAAGTTTACTTTAAAAGGGGGCTTTAGGTCTTTGGGGGAGGGGGCTTGAGTCTCTAGGTGTTCCCCCAGGCCAGTCCTGGAAGAACATCTGGACACCCACCCCAAAAAGTGCACGCTTTCTGGGGTGTGTGTGGATAGGGGCCCAGGAACATCTGTGTTTTTTAAATGCGGATGCTCCTGCGATAAAGGGCTGTGTGGAAGTGCCCCAAAATTAATAGCCACATCCGTTTTTAAAACATGTGCATGTTGCCAAATCCCAACATGTGACAGATTTTTAAGGCAATCACCTATATTTCTTTTAAAGCTCCCAAACTTCCTTTTTCATTCTTTCTCCTCCCTATATCTCCTAACCACCGCCGTTCTCACTGCAATGAATACAAATACCAGGATAATTTTTACATCTAATTGAGGCAAAATCAGTTACACAGGCTATAAAACTGCATTAACTATTATTGAATTCAAATTGTTTCCTGAGTACATACAGCTATAATTATAGGATTACAGACCATAACCAAGTGCTAGTTCCAACTGGAACAGGCACTATAAATCAGTGGATTTATAGTTATTCAATGACCATTCAGCAATTAATGTATGTACTCTGGCTGAGACTAGATACTGGATTCAGGTCACAGGCAGTCAAATTATTATCTGAAACCACACTGTTGTTGCTGTTTGTAACCCTAAAACAAACCTATCATAGGGTTTTCTTGACAAGATTTGTTTAGAGGGGATTTGCCTCTGGGGCTGAGAGTGTTTGACTTGCCCAAGGTCACCAAGTGAGTTTTCATAACTGAGTTGGGATTCAAACCCTGGCCTCCAGAGTTACAGCCCAATGTTCAAACCATTACATCATACTGGCTAAAAATAACAACCCAGGTTTCAGTCATCACTCACATCATCTGATTCCCTGATGAGTTCTGTGTCTTCCACTTGCACCACAGCATCAGCACCACAGGGTATTGGAGCACCAGTTGTAACTCGCATTACCTGACCAGGCATTACAGTCTGAGTAGGCTGAAAAACATCAGGACATGTCAATACATTGTCTTAATTAAGGAATCTGAGGGCTCCTAGATATTGAAGATTTTTTTAAAAACTTTCACTGACATCTTACTTCCGTAGCTAATTTACATTAAGTCTTATGCACATGATGCACAAGCTACACAGGGCCTAGGCTCAAAAATGCCCCGCACAGTCAATCTCAATATTATAAATCATGTGGAATATGCATATATAACTCAATTCACATTGGGCTGCAATCCTATGACACGTGTTTAAGTGCTGCCTACATGTGCATAAATCCCATTTTGAACATGATGTAAAGAACTATTCTCTTGTCCCTGTGCTCCATTAAAAACCTACTCACCACCCAATAGCTGCTGAGCCCAGGAAGGGTCCTTGCTGGTCCTTTTTACCAGAGAGGAGATAATTCAGATCATGGAGATCTGCTGTCTCTGGGCATTTGAGTGAAGGACAATGTGGTTAAACTCCATCTGAGACTACTCTCTTATTTCTTCATATCCCAGCTGCCCTGAGATTGGCTGCATCTACTTGAACTTTCCATACACTCCACACCCACCCCTTATAAGGGAAAGCAGCAGGAGCTCTTCCTGGAATTTAACAGCTGCTGGGTCATGGGAGGACAAAGACTTGTATGTACGGAATGACATACACATGTAAGTTCTTAGTCATAGTAAACACGGCTGAGCGAGAATATATACTATGGATCCAGACAACATATTCATCGAAAGAGATAGAAAAAAAATGACTTTTCAGTCTTCTCCCAAGAGCTGGTGTTCATGGTTACTAGATCTAGTTTTGACATGGGGGTGATGGCAGAAAAGGGGGGAAACCCAAAAATTAGTTGGGGATATTTTCTAGGAGCAGATATTCTTATAGAATGATCATTTAGCAGTCTACCTATAAGGCATTCCTTTTGAACAACTGCATTTTTAAATATGAGTAAACAGCAATTCTCCAATGCTTTTGTTTAGATGCATACTCAATAGATTAGATATTTACAAATCACAAATAATTTTATACCCTTTTGTAAAACATTGTAAGCAGGGCTGTAGCCAGAAAAAAATTCGGGGGTGGGGGGGTGGGGTTGAAACCTGCTCCTAGCTCACGCTGAAGCCAAGAGCACAGCAGAGGGCAGAGCAGCCTTCAATAGCCTGCAGCTCCACCCCTGTCAACCACCTCCACCAAGTCTGGCCTCCTTAATGAGAGCATTCAACACCCCCCCCCAACTTGGTTGCTTCGCTACATCGGCTATTGCTGCAAGTAATGACAGTGTGAATAAATTGTCAATATTTGCTTGAGATAGTGCTTGCAGTTCTGGAGGGACTCTTAATTTTTTGTCTCATAGACTTCGCATGGGGATTTGGTTAACCAGTTAAAATTCATGAGTAAACCAGGTTTTTTTTAACCTGAAAATTTTCGGGGGGGGGGGGTTGAACTCTTAAAGTCAGAGTGAAAAACAGCCCCCCCCCCCCCCCCCCCCCGGCTACAGGCCTGATTGTAAGCTAAACATATGCATCTTATTATCCAATGTAATTCTGTTGACAACAAATACATGAGGAAACCTGATAGGAAATAGGAAAGGAAACCATACTGCACTCACTTGCTCACCAGCTTGGGATTCCCCAATGATGAAACGATCCCCAGGTCCATCAGCAGCTGTAGATTCAAGATGATAGATAAGTTAGATATTAATAAGATTGTTACTATTTACTAATATTATTATTCCTGCATTGCTCTCTATATGAAATAACATGGTTGGTTTATGTGTGTGCAAAAATGATCAAAACATTAAGATACAATATATATTACCTACGCCTTTAACAAACACATGCTTTTCTTCCAGTATAAACCATAATGAAGAAGAAAATGTGGGAGACATTAGAAGAGATCTTAATTTTCCTGCAATTTCTTCTTAAAACAGAACTCCACAGGATGTTAAGTTCTCAAATTCCCACAAGCAGTTAAAAGAAAAGGCAGCAGAAAACACCCAAAGTGAATCAGTAGCAGTTTCTTTTTCAACACTGTCCTCTAAGTAACCCCAAATTTGCAAGAAAAGAATTAAATGCCAAATTCCCCCAACCTTTTTTTAAATGCTCAGGAGACCTGGAAATTGGTAGACTGGGGTCTGTGGAGCTGTTGGCAGCAATCTTTGATAAACATTTAGAAATGAATGCAGGTATCACACACCCATCCCTCTGGATTAAAACAGAAGGTTATTCTGCTGCTCAAGATGAGCAAATTATCCATAATTAAATTTTATCTTCCACTGGAATATGGTTACTTTTTATCACAATTCACAATGGCTGTCAAGATTGCCCCCAAACGCAGACTCCAAGGAAGAAAGATAAGGCGCAAAATGAACTCTCAAGCCCTTCAAGAGCCCTCCAAACAAGCCCTTCTTCAAACAACACTCATCTACCCATAAAACACCCTGAAAATGTTAAAGAACATTGGAATAAATAGAAGACCTTCATCATCACACCCTCTGAAGAAAACATTGGATACAAACCAAGAAACAACAAGACTGGTTTGATGAAAATGATAACGAGATCCAATAGTTAATTGATAAGAAAAGGAAAGCCTTCCAAATATGGCAGAGAGACACCAACTGCGCTATTAAGAAAAAGATTTACACCAGTGCAAAAGCCGACTTCCAAAGAAGGATCAGAGAATGCAAGCACTGCCTAGTTTGGAGGAAGTCAACAAAGCAATCAGCCATCTAAAAAACAACAAAGACAGTGGACCTTACTGAAATCCTTAAAGAGGGTGGACCTGAACTGACACAACAACTCCACCAGCTATTGAAAAAGTATGGGTGACCAAGAAAATCTCAGCAGATCTCAAAGATGCCACCATCATTGCCCTTTTCAAAAAGGGAGAAAGAACAGACTGTGGAAGGTATCTCCCTTCTAACCTCCACTGGCAATATCTTTGCAAGAATCCTTGCAAACCGCCTTCTATGTATTTCAGAAGACATCCTCCCTGAATGGCTTCCACCCCTCCAGAGGAACAGTTGATATGTTCTTCACTGCACAGCAGCTTCAAGAAAAATGCAGGGAACAAAATCAATCTTTGTACATGCATTGACCTTGCAAAGGCATTTGACATGGTGAATCACAGTGCTCTCTGGACCATTCTCCAAAAAACATCCTGCGGCTCCTCCATGATGACATGATGGCAACAGTCTTGGACAACAGTGGCTCCCAAAGTGACCCATTTAAGGTGGAATCAGGTGTCAAACAGGGATGTGTTATTGTCCCAACCTTATTCTCCATCTTGGTCCAAGGCAGAGACATCTCCAGCTCATCCCGTTTGGGTATCAGCCAGCACGTCAACGACTTAAATCTAGAAATAGTTTTCTAAGATCTAGAGACACTCGCTGGAACATCTCAGCAAGCGAGAGTCCAAAGTGGCAGGCTCAAACCCAGAACCTCAACCAATGGCTGATACCAAATGAGAGACTCCCTGGGCACACAGAGGACTGGGCGACTTGGAAGGCGCTGAACAGACTGCGCTCTGGCACCACAAGATGCAGAGCCAACCTTCAGAAATGAGGCTACAAAGTGGAATCCTCGACATGCGAGTGTGGAGAGAGCAAACCACTGACCACCTGCTGCAATGCAACCTGAGCCCTGCCACATGCACAATGGAGGACCTTCTTGCAGCAACACCAGAAGCACTCCAAGTGGCCAGATACTGGTCAAAGGACATTTAATCAACTACCAAACTCATAAATTTTGTATTCTGTATTTTGTATTTTTGTATCTTGTCTGTTTGTTTGCTTTGTTCTGTTAGAAATGTAATATAAATGACTGGTTGCTGATGACTCGATAAATAAATAAAATAAATAAATTCTCCATCTTCATAGCTATGATACTGCATCTTGTTGATGGGAAGCTTCCTACCGATGTGGAAATCATCTATCTGACAGATGGCAAGGCATTGAACCTCAGCAGACTGAAAGCCAAAACCAAGGTCACAGCAACATTTGTTATAGAACTGCAATATGCAGATGATAATGTAATCTGTGCTCATTCAGAAGAAGACCTACAAGCCACTCTAAACATCTTTGCAGAAGCATACAAAAAGCTTGGCCTCTCACTGAACATCGAGAAAACCTAAGTGTTCTTTCAGCAGGCACCAGCCAATCCCTCTGCAATGCCAGAAATACAGCTTAATGGTGTAATGTTAGAAAATGTTGACCATGTTCATTACCCTGACAGCCCCCTCTCCACAAATATCAACATTGACACTCAATACAACAGTGCCTGAGCTCTGTGAATGCAGCATTTTTAAAAAATAAAGCACAGAGTGAGGACTGGAACATTTTTAGAGAAACTAAAATGCCTGTTTATAGAACTATTGTCTTCCCAACCCTGTTATACACCTGCAAAACATGGAGCGTCTACAGCCATCATACTCAACTCCTGGAATGATTCCATCATTGTTGCCATCAAAAATCCTGCATATCTCTTGGGAAGATAGGCAGACAAATGTCAGAGTGCTGGAAAAAGCAAATACCACCAGCACTGAAGTTATGATCCTTCGCCATCAACTTCGCTGGACTGGCCACATTGTCCAAATGCCTGATCACCATCTCACAAAGCAGTTACTATACTCCCAACTCAAGAATGGAAAATAGATGTTGGTGGACGGGTAAAGAGATTTAAAGATGGGCTTAAAGCCAACCTTAAAAACTGTGACATTGACACAGAACTAGGAAGCTCTGGCCCTGGAGCATTCTAACTGGAGATCAGCTGTGACAAACAGTGCTGTGGAATTTGAAGAGGCATGAATGGAGGGCGAAAGGGAGAAATGTGTCAAGAGGAAGGCACAACAAGACAACCCCGACTGGAATTGCCTTCCACCTGGAAATTGATGTCCTCACTGTGGAAGAACATGGGGATCAAGAATAGGTCTCTATAGTCACCCACCGGCGAGACACTTAACTTGGAAGACAGTCATACTCGGGCGCGAGTGATCACTGATTGTTATTACTCTTTATCTGCGTATGAAGCTGAAGAAAACCCAGGAAATCTCAGAACAGCTCAATTTGCAAATACAGAAGGGCACATCTTACAAATATACACTGATTTACACAACTGTGATACAGCTGGAATGCCAAAGCAGCTATATCACTATTTTATAACATGCACAATACAATGTTAATCTATGTAATAATAAACATGCAGTGTTTCCCCAGTCTTCCTCTCTTCTACCTAGTTCAAGGTTTTGGAAAGAATTTTTTGAAGTCAGGAGGTAAATCAGAAGTTTCCCCGAACCAGTATAGTTACTGGTGTGAAAAAGAACTATCCAGGGCCCCAAACAGCTAAAGACAAAAAAATGGGAAAATTGACCCCTGTTATTTCCTAAAGGGCATGTGAAGCATTTTGAGATTAGATTTTTTTTTAATTGTAAGGGTGTATAATGGGGGAATGAATATAGTTCTCCGAAGTACCACAGTTCTCCCCAACCGCTGGCAGTTGCCCACTACAAAAACATATCTGATTTGTCCCTATAAAAGAATGCTCCTGAACATTTTTTACACTTTGACATCCTAGTGGATTCCAGGAAGGCAGTGATGACACCAACAGAACTAAAATGCTCAAGAAATCAACACTGATTTATTTACAGCATGATACACAGATTACATTAAATGTAATTATATATGAAACTGGTGGAAATGAGAATAAATAGACCTGAGCTATTTTTACATGTGACAGCAATAAATAGATACACATTTTCTACAGAACAGCAGGAGCAGGATTTAAACCCTTAAAGGAACACTGTGGATGGCAGCAAGTTTGGTGCCTGAAATGAATGTATGTTTAATCTGCTATGCAAAACAAATGTTTAGAGACCACCCTGAATCAATTTAAGCAAGACAAGGACTGATGTACTTTTGTCCTTTGGACTCTATAGAGCATATATCAGCATGTAATCTGTTGTGAAGCTAAACCTTCTGAAATGTCAATTCAAGGTCAAAGTTACCAGCATTTACCTCTGACAGCATAGCCATCTTTTACTGAAGCTGGGAAGGGCGGTAGGTTATCTTTTGCATAAACTTCTTGAGCAAGGACTCTGCCCATTCCATCTAATACATGAAAATACAGAAGGGGAAGGAGTTGGAGGATGAATGAATCTTGGTTAGCAAATTCAACTATAGAAAATTACCAAAAGATTAGGTTTGTATTTGCACAACACATCTCATAAAGCAAACTTTCAGTTCTTTGTTGAAACCAGTTAGAAAACGGTAAGAGAAACTCGGAGTTAAAATATATAGTTCAGCCAGCCAGCCATTTACAATAAAACTGTAACAGATGCAATGAACTAAACATAAAATGCTGAGAGCCAGGTTAGATAACATAAGAGTAAATAGGTAACATGTTTGCCCCGTGTTTCCTTCAAAGAGCTTGCAGTGGTGTTCAGGCTTTATTTTTCTACATGTGTTTTCCTCACAACAACATGATGTAGGATATAGTAGTATATAACTGAGGGCTTCTTTAAAACATTCCCCTATAGTTCCAGTTCAGATTTCCAATACAGTTCAAAATGTGAGCTGCTTTAGGTCTCCATTCTGAGAAAAAAGCAGGGTAACAACAACAACATCAATAACACCCTTTAACGTTATCTTCCTGAGTGATGTTACAATATATTTCTTTTCACATATTTTAAACTTTTAGCTTTCTATCACAAATCAGTGATTGCTACCAAACAGTCAGGTGTAGAAGAATGAAGAATGATTCAGACACCCCCAGATTAAATTTCACCACTGAGTCCTTCACAGATCTGATACCTCTGTCTGCATATCCATCCCAACCAAAGAGTTGTAATCATTAAAGAGTGTATTGTCAAAGGCTTTCATGGCTGGAATCACTGGGCTGTTGTAGGTCTTTTGGGCTCTATGGCTATGTTCTAGAAGCATTCTCTCCTGATGATTCGCCTGCATCTATGGCAAGTATCTTCAGAGGTTGTGAGGTCTGAGGATGCGTGCCATAGATGTAGGTGAAATGTCAGGAGAGAATGCTTCTAGAACATGGCCATATAGCCCGAAAGATCTACAACAAACCATTAAAGAGTGCCTTACTAAACACTTTAGAAAGATTGTTCACAAAATAACATACCAAATGAAAAATAAAAAAATCTCCTTTCTTCTTCTCAAAATGTCTGAAATACCTCGATAATTGATTATTTCTGTTCCAAGCACTGGGGTCATCTCTAGCACTGTGATGAAGGCTTTGTCCATAGATGTCAATGGAAATGGAGACATACGGTGTCTTCTTGCTACCTTTGTGATGTCTACAGCACTATGACCTGCAAAAGAGCAGTATGAATGTCAGAAAAATATCTGTCATTTTAATATACGTATGTACTTTTTTCATAGTAACAGATGTTTACCACCTATGCAGCAACAAATTATCCAGTATATCTTGTTAGATGATTCAAATGTGATTTAAATAAGTTATGTTATCAATTTAAGTGAATGGATGTAAAACATATTGTACTAAAGAAAAAAGGGGGACAGGACTGGGAATACTATTTTTCCAAAACCTTTATTAGAGATTTTATTGGCCAATGAACATTTTGTGATTCATAAGACAAATGAGACAGAATATCTAAATTACATGTCTGTATCCCCTGCCTCAAAAGATATTTATCATTTTATAGACCCAGGATTGGATTTTTCAGAAGATGGGTCTTCATCTATGAAGATTCTTAAATTACTCCCATGTTCAAAACAATGAAATGACATATTCTGAATATCCAATAGGTAAATAACATTAACACAGACATTTCTGTCTGAAAAACAAATTGCTTCCAAGCAATTTAATTTCTTAAACAAAATCTAGTAGTACAACTACCTCATGTCTTTGCTTATGTAATGTACACAAACTTTTCATTGTTTTCTATTTCTGACAGTACCGAATGTAAACGGATTATATGCATTTACTAATTAATGAAAATATTTCTATTTCACGTTATATCAAAGTTTCATAGAAAAATGTATATTTTAAATAATGTAAATTCATGTGACAATTTCAAACAAAAACTATTTAAAACAAGTAGAAACCATGTGTACCTAATCTGAATTTCATGAAACCAACATTAGCAACACTGAATGTTTATTTTTCTTTCTTAGAATTCTTATCTACCTTGCATCTCTTTGTTCAAATATCATTGCAAAAGTAAAAAAAAAAATTCTGCTGCAAATACCTGCTGCATCCATACAACACCTAATTTTTTTTATCTTTTAAACCATAGCTTTGTGTTATAGTGAATATGTCTGAATCTATTTTGATGAAATGGCTCTGATTTGGCCAAAAATCAATACTAGCTATTAGGTCACCAGTGTGTATGAACACTTGTCACCACAGGAAGAGGTGAAAGATGTCATTGAAAGAAGGGTTTTATACCATATCTTAGAAATATATAACAAGAACACTCTTTTTTGTGCGTGAATCTTACAAAGTACTAACTAATATGCAATACAATATAAAATGTAATGTATATATTGCAATAGAAGATATGACACACACACATACATAAACACAGGACAAATACTTTCTTATACTGAATAGTAAAATAGTTGAAATGCTACGTAGTAGTTGAAAATGAAAACGCAATGGAAACACAATAGGTGTCTTCTATGAAGTCTTCTTCAAGTGTTAATCTGATGGACACAGTAAATGCTCTTTAGGATTAATATTAGGACATCCCTTGTGTTTTGATGTTTAAATTATTATTAGGCAAGCTTGATTGCTCAGTTCACTTGCTTCCAGCTCCTGCCCCACTGTTCCAATGTCCTTTTCTCCATTCTACCTCCTTATTGGTTCAGATGAGTTCCAATTCACTCTCTAGTAGGAAGTTTTCAAAATATTGTATAAATCTGTGTATGACCTGATTGTTTTTAAAAAAGACTTGACACCCAAAAAACCTAGGTTGATATATTCAGCTGCTACATCTATTTATCATGTTGCTTCTTCTGGCCTTTTGTAACACCTGCTCAAAAATGGTGGTGATTGCTATTCTTTGGTGCTCCCATGGCATGGAGAGAGGATGGACTAAGCTCATTCATTTCTGGCCTATTCAGTGGCAAGAGATGGGAGGTGGAATAGGAGAGTCAGCATGGGGCCTTGCCAGCAAAATAACTATAACAAGGGAAGTGGGAGGCAGCCTGGGCAAAGGAAGGGAGGAATCTTCCACTTGCTTACTCATGGATGCTTTGAGCAGCACCTAAGAGAAGGCACTTAGTCTATCACAGGAGAAAAACAGCAGCAAAGACACAAGTAAAACAACAGAAATAATAAACACCTAGCATTATATGGAGCCATTTTGAATGCCTGGGTGGGAAAATGGTGGTAGAAATGGCCAAGAACCGTTGGTCCCCTAGGTGGTGTTTGTGCTTTTCCTTCTCCTCAAAATGATCATCGGTTTATCCATAATTTTGGCCCCAAAACCTTTCCTGACTTATATGAGATCCACTTATACTTGAGGATATATGGTAGAATGTACCCAGCTGTTTAATCAGTTGCTGCTTGCTTTGCAGCTTATGCTGGCAAGTTACTGTGACTACCAGAAAAGTGCTGCCGCCTCTTTCCCATTGTTTGCAGGACCTTCGATATCAAAGAGGCTATTATTTTTGTTTTATGGTCCAGTGACAATGGTGCCAGGGTGTGTGAGTGCTTCATCCCAGTCAAGGTAAAAGTTTAATTCAAGAAGCAGGTAGCACCCCAAGCCTTCTTGTCCTGCATGCAATTTTTCGACTTCCTTTCAAGAATAATTAATCTATTATCCCCAGATTTTTCTTTTTCCTTCCCATGTCCCCCCATCCCATAATTTCCTAGTAAATGTTTAAGAAAAATATTTGAAAAAAAATAGTTTAGATATAAAAATGTAAGGCCAGTACCATGGTTTCTAAAGTAAATCAATTTCAAGTTGTGATTTATAAAGTTAGCTCATAACATACTGAAAGTAGATAACTGACAACAGAAGCAAACCTTTCTGGTTTTATTATAGCTGTTTTGGAGGGGAGTGTATGAGTGTAAGGGCTGTTCATATAACAATAATGGTGGGTTACTCATCTGTAACCATGTTTCTTGGAGTGGTACTCTATGGATCCACACATGTGGAGTATCTGTGCCTGTGCAGGCTCCAATGGAAAACTTCCCAAGATAAATGTAAAGTTTTGGCAGTAACCCCGCCCAGTCCCCTTTGCAGGGCATAAAAGGCGCTCCGTGCGCACACTCCACAGTTCCTGTTTTTCTGAGGCAAAGCTCACTTTGGAAACTTCCTTGCTATGTCAGCGACCTGGTTTAAGCGTTCTCAATGCTCAGTGCCTTCTTTGCCTTGGTGAAGCCCATATTATATCTTCCTGCTGCCACTGCCAGTCTCTAACGGCCCAGGCTCTGAAGAACAGGGCCACCTGCTTGTAGTATCTTCTTTATGAGCAAACTCTTGCTCCTTCGATGTCTCAGCCTTCTACTTTGGGTCCTTCGACCTCAGAACCTTCAACCTTGACAGTGGCTCAACCATTGTTGTGACCTAGCTCGACTTCTTCAGCGGTTTCAAAGTTGTCGAGACTGACTCGACAAACTAGACCACCCTGCACCTTGACAACAGAGACAATATCCGCAAGGCCCTCTTTGACCTTGAGCTCAGTAGCTTCGGCTCACTCCACGAGATCCAACATGGCGACTCCGCCATCCCCCACATCAATGAAGATCGCTTTTAAAAGGGCCCATGAAGAGACCTGTAGAACGCAGGCTGCCTTGACCACACCACCAGTCCTGCTGACTCCAGGAAAGTCCCTGGCTCCTCCAGGTAGTGCTCAACCACCAGCGAAGAAAAGAGCTCCACCACGCTTTTCTTCCTCTTCCTCCTCAGAGAAGACTGCTATAGCCTCCTCAGCCACCTCGTCGGACCATTCTTCGCCTCTTCTCCGGGTGTAGCCAGCTAGGCCTTCTCAGGAATCTTCTATCAAAAATGTTTTCGACGGTGAACTTCCTGAATCTCCGGTCCGGTCAGAGGAGGCTGTTGTCCAGGTTGTCCAGCAACCTCCACCGGCTCAACCTTCAGCCAGAGAAGAGCTCTTTCCACCGACCTCGACACTGGAGAATGCCTGACAGACACCTTGCCTAGCTAGAACAGCTCAGGCCTCGACATCAAAGCAGCCTCCACCTCTGACTTTTCCACCCCAACTCCTGAGACTACTGCCACTACCACTGCCACTCCCCTCTTCTTCCTCTCTTCATCAGTTTGAGGATAAAGATCAGGACAAGGAATCTGTGCATTCAGGTTTGGTCCTATCCTTGGATCTCGACCGTTCTCTGACCCATGATGCTTACAAGGTGGACCCTCCTTCACCTACAGATAATGCAAGAGCTTTTGCTGACCAGATGGTTAGAATGACTGATACCTTGGGACTTAAGATTAAACAGACTTCTAAGGCGGGGACCACATGTTTGCATTCACAGAGTCCACAAAGAAAAAAATTAGTTTATAACTATATCTGAATGTAGTCAACAAGAATGGCATTTTGCTGTATAACTCTCTCCCAGAAATTGATCTTGCCAGAGGACTGGAGAAAATGCTTCCTGTTGTTTACATTGTATTTTGTTTTTCCCTTCTAATCATGGAAAGAAATGTGCAAAAATCCAGTGATCAGTGGACACATCATTTGGATACTCAAGTGAAATCTCAGGGATTTTTAAGCATACTCTGCAACCATACCAAGTTCTGCATAATATCCTGTGCTTTGGTTGTGCTTGCAGAGAATTTCTGGTTATATAAAATGAGAGCTATAGCTGAAATAGGAATTATCCTTTACTAATACACACATAAGGATGCAACACTTACTGGCTCTGAGGATGTTCTCCTTACTGCTGCACCTGGATTGTACCTGTAGAGAGAATCAAAGAGCTGATGAAGCAGAGGAAACAGGCAAAAGTGACCATGGAAATTTAATGGGCAAGCTCCTGGGATCTGGAGATAGAGGCTCTTTTTTTCCTAATAGCATTTATTTCTGTTACACAATACATTTTGAAAATATTGGTGGTTGACAATCTAAATCAACTGCAAATATTGAAACATAAGCCAGTCTACTGAATACATTTTAGTTAAATGTGTCAGAATAATAAGAAGTGCATATTAAAGTTCAATGAGAAACTTTGACTCTATCATTATTACAAACATAATGTAGATACAAAGAAAATTAGGTTTAATGATTATATTCAAAATACAAAAATGCACAAAAGATTAGGGTAGTGTTGAAGATGCATGAAGCTCCTTTTGTTAAAGATACCAAAAATAAGTTGAACGTGTTCTGAAGAAATTCATCATTCTGGTAATCCAACTGTTTCACAATTCTCCTTGGAGACAATAGATTCCCCATTATTCATATATTTTAAAACGACTTTGAAGAAATAATATGCTTAACAAGGATTGTTTTATACTAAGAGTGTCACAGTAATGTGGCACTTGCTAAATTTATAACATGATTATCCTCTAGTCATTCCCTGGGCAATTAAGTAGTATGTATTTATATGGGACCATCATGAAACAAGGACTTTGCTTTGCTCATGCACATACTGAGTTGGATGAGAAGGCAAACCATAATTTAGTGTTACATGCACAAGCTATGGCATGCTTTAGTTTTCTGCAGTCCCCCTTACCCCAGTTTGTTCACATTAACTGAAAACATTTTGTTCTTATTTAGAGTTCCTTTTTGTATCTCAATTTGAGGAATTCTGGTTAGTTTCAGACAGCGAAACTGCCATCAGAAATCTGAGATGGTGACATGCCAATTGTGCCGTTGGATCTAAAACCTGCAGCAGCACACGAGTGCTTACTACCAGCTTCGGCTGATATGCTAGCTGCACCCCTTTCTAGACTTGGAGGACCTAAAGATGGTAGTGCACATGCTGGTAACTTTGAGTTTGGACTTCTGCAATGCGCTTTACATTGGGTCACCTCCCTACCAAGCTTGGAAACTTCAATTAGTTCAAAACACGACAGCCAGACTAGTTACAGGAACATCCAGGAGTGAGCATATCACCCATATACTAAAATCATTCCACTGGCTGCCAATCAGTTTCTGAGCAAAGCAAAAAGTGTTGCTTTTGACCTCTAAAGCCTTACATGGTTTGGGTCCAGGTTACCTACAGGATCTCCTTCTACTGTGTACAATCCACCCCAAACACTTAGGTCCTCTGGGGAGCAGCTACACCAATCAGCCAAAACCCAACTAGCAACCCTCACCCAGAGGACCTTTTCTTCAGCTGCCTCAAGACTGTGGAATGACCTGTCAGAAGAGCTCCAACAGCTAAATGAACAGTTGGAATTTAAGACACAACTTAAGACCTATCTCTTCTGGCAGGCCTACTCAGTCAATTTTAACTTGTGAATTTTAACCTGAATTTTATTGGTAAATTTTAACTTGCATTTTACCTGTGTGTATTTGTTAGATGTATTTTAATCACACTTTGTTTTACTTCACTATTTTAAGTATGTTGTACTCCACTTCAAGCCACAAGGCGAGGCGGGAAATAAATAAATAAACAAATAAATAATTATTGGAACCTTGCCAGGACTCAATCAAAGCCTCTTCTTGTTAACCATTCCAGTATTCTTTGAACTGCTTATTTGGAGGTTGATCTTTCTTCTCTTTCCTTATTATCCACTTTGTCCTGCTACTACTTTGACTTCTTCTGACTGCTTGATCTTACTTCTATTTGGGACTGGCTGTTCTTGGGCAAGATGCAATTATTTCACCTTTCTTTGACCATTTAACTTGCTGGTTGCTTCTGCCTGTCTGGACTGCATTTAAGTTTGTTTTTTCATCCGTACTGACTACTGAACTGTAGTGCTGGACTTTGCTATCAGAGCCTGCCTAACCATGACTAGGGCATTGGATGAGGAGCTTTTTAAAATGGCTATTGATGTACAAAAAAAGTCAATCTTTGGTCACAGCTTATGATAAATGGCGCCACATGCAACATCGGTGGAATTTATAGGATCTAGAAAGTTCTCTGTCTTTCTCTCTGACAATTTAAAATTAAATTAAAAATATGCCCACAACTTGCTCAGTAACCCATTTATTAGTTAACCAAAGTGTACAGAAGCTTGGCCATCAAAAGAAATTCTGGTTACTGTGGCAATGAAAACACATGCTACCATTTCCTTTGGAATACTGGAGCTAGAGAGAGAAGAACACGTCTAAGGCTTGCCATCACTCTCAGAGGTAACACTAAGCCATGATTTGGCATGTAAGTGAAAATGTCCATTGGTTGGCTGAATCTAGAAACCCAGGGGCAATGTTTTTGTAATGAGCAGATAATGCATTGCACCAGTTCATGTATATATAGAAGCAGTCACTAAAATAGCATTTGGATTACAAACTGAAAGTATTTTTATGCTTTTGAAAATCAATTGAAATTTCTCACATTATTATATACACAACCATTATTTTAGAATTATAATGAGAATGGCTTCCTGCTATTTTCATATATGTCAACATTGGAAACACCACTAGAGGAAGAGTACCAGTTAAATGTGAGTACAAGTGAATATTGGATTTCCCTCCTAGGGCCAATGAGGAAAAAAGCCCGTAACAAACATCAGATACTTATCCCTCTTGCCCCATTTCAATAGAGAAAACTAATTTAGGAATGAATTCTTCATGGGAGAAACAATTACTCCAGAGCTGTATTTTACATATGCTAAAAATCTATGTATTTGAGCATGTATTAATATCTGGATTAGAAAGATTAATATGAAACTTTCAAAATATGTATTAACACTGGAGAAGGAAAAAAAATATTCTTGAAATATTCCACATCACAGATCTAGCTTTACTTGTAGGTGGAGCACATTTGATATGGAGATTACTGAGCCGAGTAAATGGGAGACCATGCAATTAGTTTTGAAAACACAAGAATATTTTACATTTGAACCACATATTACAGAAATGTAATTTATTTCAAAACCTCTTTCTTCTGTTCCACAGAAGCTTGCCCCAAACACATCTACATGGGTTGGAGTCTACATCATTTACACAAGTCTATTTATTGCAATGGAATAACTTATGATAATAATGTTGCAACTTAGAGTGGTTTATGGTTGTCCTTCTCTGAAAAAAAAGGTTATGTTTGAAAAAAGCCAAAACAAAACAAAACAAAGCCATTCTACCCCCACTAAAAATTGCTGCACAGTTATACTTTAAAAAAAATAGATGTCACATTTTGGCCCAGAGTTGCTTCTCTGCTTCATTGCAATTACTGAACAAAAGAAATAACAAATAGAAGAGAAAATTGTTTCCTGGATCTAATATAATCAATTCTGGACCAAAAAGATAAAATGATACATGTATATGCACTTTCTGTTTGTTTTTATGTGCATGTGTATAAGAGAAAATTGAGTTGAATTGGGAACAAAGTGGTATGCAAAAGAAATCATAGGTGGAAAAACAACACAAAGACAATGAGCAAAAGTAACTGAACCACATAAATTTAAGAGATGGGGAGGAGGACAACAAAACACAAACGCAGACAATCTAAAGAACTACAAATCTAAAAATAAGTATGAACCATAGGGAACAGATAAGAGGGAAGGGATGTTAAAAGACAATACTAAAGTGAAGAAAATCTACAACAAGTGTAGAAACAGAAGGAGCCCCAAACCATAGTGCAAAGCAATGCTTGCGAATGGAAAACAGCTCCTTTGAGTAGCAATAGTTACTCTCAAGTCGTAGCCTCTATTCCTTCTGAGTTCATCTTTAAGCCCTTCCAATTTATAGTGAAGCTAGTGTATGGACAAAAACAAGAAATTATAATGAACAAGGCAGCTGAGATTTGTAGGTTGACATCTAATATTTTTTTAAAAAAAGATCTGAGACTCTCGGGCTACTAAAAAGGAAGCAGAAAAAAAAGACCTCTGGTTTCAAAGCAGCTTTGAGAAGGATATTCCTTTGTAAAAGAATGCTATTTAAATGATTGAGGGGCTGTTCTGGAGGACATTATAGACATTGAATTATTCATATAATTAACAAAATACAGTGATACCGTGATTTACAGGTTTAATTCGTTCTGTGACTCAAATGGCTCTTATGTTTAATTCATTCTTAACTCAAATGGCTCTTATGTCAAATCAAATTTCCCCATTGAAATGAATTGAAATGCTATTAATCCATTCTAGGTAAGGTAAAGGTTTTCCCCTGACATTAAGTCTAGTCGTGTTCAACTCTGGGGGGTGCTGCTCATCCCCATTTCTAAGCCAAAGAGCCGGCGTTGTCCGTAAACACCTCCAAGGTCATGTGGCCGGCATGACTTCATGGAGTGCTGTTACCTTCCCGCCGGAGTGGTACCTATTCATTCCAGCCCCCCAAAAACTACACCAGTTTTTGTTACATGCTTTTAAATAAAATGTAAATCCAGTTTATTTCTTTACATTCTCTGTTATTATGTATTATTATTTATATAAATTATGTTATTTATAATGTATAAAAACAATAATACATAATAAAAGAGAATGTAAAGAAATAAACTGGATTTATTAAGTGTGCATTTTCCTTCAAGATCAGGTTTCACTTCAACGTCTTCACTGAGATTTGCCTTTTTTGCCCACTTTCCTCACTTTCACTTGCAGGGTGTTCCAATAAAAACCCATCCAAGGAAGTTTGTTTCTTCCTCCCTTTCAAAATGTTTCTAAAATGAGTGAGGCAAGTGTTAGGAAGGGAAGTGAAGTGAAGCTCTCACGGGATTGGAGGAGGAGGCGGGATTGGAAGGTTATAAGCCAATAACATAACTTTCCTTTTCCTGCTATGAGTGGGAAACTTTAGTAAAATTCTCCTGGCTCCTCAGTTTTCCTACAATCTCTCAAAACCCTGGGACTGCAGAAATAACAGCAAGGACAAGAGCAAGGAGCTTTCCTGGCTGCTCCCTTAACACCCTGCTTAAGATGGCAGGTGGTGTACTCTCGCGCTAACTCTTATGTGAGCTCATAACTCAAATTTTGGTTTGTATGTCTAACTAAACAAAACGACCAAGCAATGGCTCGTATCTCAAAAAACTGGTAAGTTGGTTTACTTGTAAGTCAAGGTTTCACTGTATATTACGGAAAAATTATTTGCTTTCTATTAATTATACAAAAAGTAATGGTGAAGTATTGTGTGAGATGAAAATGGCAATAAATCTACATTTGGCTGTTTCCTATGTGTGACCCAGTTAAAAATAATGTATCTACATGGACACATAGTTATTTTAAATGTTAAAGAAGTTCATATTGTTTCAAATCAAACGTGTTTAATGAAGAATGGTGTTAGACATTAGCAGCAACTCATTAAAACAGGGGAAGCAAAATGCCCTGCAGATGTTCCTTCATACTTCTCCAAATAAGTCAATTTTTATATCTCCAGCTGCATTTTCCTGATGCTGGGAATCTTTGTACTTCTTACGATGAGTTACAAAGCAAAATTATTTTTGTGACATAGACCAATATAGGGATCAGAAAGCAAGGCAATAGTCTACTTCCTGCTACCTTGTTTCTGAAATATTTACAGCTACTACAAAGCCTGATTTCTACATTACTGAACTACATTACTGAAATGGTGGGTGAGTGGCATTACTTTGCTATTGTGTGGAAGCACATTATTTAAACTGACAAGTTAAAAGATGCAGTTACATTGAACTGCATTATTCTGCAACTTTGGGGGATGGCAAATAATTAGATGGTCAATTAAACAGATGTGGTTACTTCCCATACTTGTGTCTGTCTCTATAGATTAGGGGGAGGCAATTAGGCAGAGGCCGGGAATCAATTCCTTTCTCTCAAAGGCCTGACTCACTCAAGTAGTGCATCAAAATACTCTGGTTTTGTGTCCTTGCTGAAGTGGCAAGTGATGTTACACTAATTCTACCATAGTTGCCAATTTGTGAAGGACTAGGACAAAAACAGAGTCAGAGTGATTTTCTGTGGGCGTGGGTAGGAGTATTTTTATACATGTATGTGCTCTTGAGGCTATGAACAATTTTCAGATGAAAACTGGGTCAACATTACACCAGATTTCAAATTTGGCATGAGGTTTACAAGGACAAAACTGGCAAGAGGCTTCAGGGTTTGCAAAAGTGGATTCTAGGAGTGCATGAGGGCTGTGGGCCAAACTTTCCCAAATGTTGGTGTAAGACATATGCAAACCGAGGCTTTTCATATTGAATTGCAATGTGTTTTCCAGGCTGTATAGCCATGTTCCAGAAGCATTCTCTCCTGATGTTTCACCCACATCAATGACAGGTATCCTCAGAGGTTTTGAGGTCTGTTGGAAACTAGGCAAGTGAGATTTATATATCTCTGGAATGTCCAGGGTGGGAGAAATAACTATTGTCTGAGACAAGTGTGAATGTTGCAATTGGCCACCTTGAATAGCATTGAATGGCCTTGCAGCTTCAAAGCCTGGCCACCTCTTGCCTGGGGGAATCGTTTATTGGGAGATGTTAGATATTATTACATAGCTGGATGAAACCCAAAATGTATTGACCTAGGACTAAGTATCACATCATCCAGTGGATCTTGCTCCTGCTTCCAGTTATGTAAAAAGATATAATATTTTGTATTTGATTTCCTTTTACCGAAGAGTTCAGTCTGGCAAAAGAATTGCATGTAAAATGGTTTTACAGTACACCATGTATTATACTACACTCACTCAAAAATGAATATTAAAATACAGAACATCTGCCTTCATTATTTTGAATGTAAATTCATGCCTCTTGTTATGCCTGTATTTTAAATGCTGAGCACCCATCTAACTCCAAAATGGGCATTACGGTAGAAATATAGCACTTAAATTAATACAGACTATGATGAATCTGTGTTACGTGCTAACATAGCTATAAACTATAGATTGCAAAAATTCTAAATCGCTGACTACAACAAATAGAAGGTTTTTAGTGTTAATTGTTTAACATTTTATGGTGTGTCTCAGGCTAATACAACACAAGAAATAATATAAAATATCCATGCTAGACATGATCAATTAAAAGTATAACCAGCTGCGCCAAACCATAATATAGGAAGAAAGCAGAGAGAAATCTTGAAATGTGACTATAACCTTTAGAAAAATTGGAAGACATCACTTACCTTTTACAGATCATAACAAGATTAGCATAGAGTAGGTACAATTAAAAACCAAGGGTCAAGGTACAATTAACAACTGCACAGAAAGTTAAATTCTTATCAAACATTTCACCTTATGTTTAATGCTGTACAGAGAACACAGATATCAAAGCACAATTTTGCCAATGCCAGAGAAGTGTTCCCCTCCACAAAAGGAATAGTGGGAAGCAAATCCATAATTGTCTACAAGTTATGGGAGAAATTATAATTCACGATCATAGGGGCATGCAGCATGTATAACCACCACCAGAAAACCAAACTGGTAAACATATGCACATATAACATTGACTAAAGTACAGGAAAGAGCAATGGATTAGCTAAATTAAAATGGAAGAAGCAACATAAGCAAAGCACAGCAGCCATAATGATGTGAGAGCTATTGTCTTCTAACTGTCCAGCAAACGCCAGAAACAAGGTATTCTTCAGTGCTGCATACACTGTAGCTTACAACACTGCATTAATGTAGAACTCCCATAGCCCTTAACCTAATCTTACAAGATGGTGGCAAAAGAGATACATTTTAGTCTCCTACAATGTTCTTTTGATTTCTTTTTCAAAGAGCAGTGAACTAAAAAGGAGAAAGGAACGTAACTATCCTAAGACACGATGTCTGAACAAAAACTGTATGGTAATTTTTTTCCTTGAATTTAGCATACTTCATTTGAACACAACTGCTATACATTAAATCAGCAAAATTCAAGATACAGTATATGATGACACTTGGGTGCTTTCAGAGTCCTGTCATCTGAATGTGTTTTCGTTCTTTTCTGTCTTTCCAGCCAAGAGTGCTTTCTATAAAACGTGAAGAGGAATTTCCACAGATACAACTCATCTCTATTCCCCCTCTCTATTTCTTTCTATCCAAATTCCCTGCTAAAATTTACAAGAAAAAATTGAATTAAGTCATTACTGCAAATTCAAGCCAACAATATTGTTTTTGTAATGGTTGAGACAGACTGTAAGTTTGGAGAGATACAAAAATGTAGAACAATGTGTATTGTAATAATATTTCAAGAACAGAAGGATTATAAATTATAAATTGTTCTCTAAGGCCCTGCCTACATTGGCTGGTTAATTCTGGGCCAGTTCAGAACAGAAATGGTTTGGGTTAACCCCAGAGGAGCCACAAACACCACCCCAAACTCAGGGTATTGGCAGATCAGAGTCCAGTCAGGCAGAGACCTTACCACTGACAGACACTTGCAGAGCTCTTTAAAAGTTCATGTTCCTCAAAGGCGCAATGTGCTGACATCAGCAGAGTTGCCTTCAACAGCGAGCTGTCAGAGGGCTCTGTGGATGTGTCAGTAGCAACACAAGCCTGAACAGTCCCCTTTTCCCTGCTCTGATGACCGCAGGGGGAAAAGGATGGAGGCGGTGGCCTGTGTGGACAAATATCTGTCTGAATTAGACCCAGCCCTGCTGTCCACATTGTGTCGAAGCTGGGGCTAAACCAGGATAATGTGGTTTGCCCAGTGATAACCACCAAATGCCCTGACAAATTTGTGAACATTCTGCAGCTCTTCCATGATGGCATGACAACAGTCTTGGATAGCAGTGGCTCCCAAAGTGACCCATTTAAGGTGGAATCAGGTGTCAAACAGGGATGTGTTATTGCCCCAAATTTATTTTCCATT